AGCTGGGTTTGTGCCAACTTCATTATCCCTGAGCCAAAAGCTTCCCCCAATTAATTTATTCCCATTCCGGAGGCAGCTCCGGCGGCAGATGGAGAGGTGGTGACACCAGGATTTGATGATTGAGTGACAAAGGGTGACAATTCCGTGGAGAGTGACGGGAAAAGTTGAGAGAAACGCCAGGGAATTGTGAGAAAAAGCAGGGAATGGTGGGAAATCGCAGGGAAGGGTGTTGCCCTCCTCATCCCCAGCTCCAGGGAATGAACGAACTTGGAATTTCATCTCATTCCTGTGGAAAATATCCTCGAGGGCTGTCACAATTCCTGGGAAAAGAAGTGGGAATGGGATCACCAAACCCTGCCAGGAATGGTGGGACACATCTGGAGCATCAACTTTGGGTCACCAGCAGGGTTTTTTTGGGAATGAAATTCATGAAAATATCCAAGGCCAGGTCTGTTCCCATTGGGATCAGTTGGTTCCCACTGGGATCAGTCAATTCTCACTGGGAATCCCACTGAAATCACTCAGACTCCAGTGGGATCAGTCTATTCCTGATGGGATCAATCAATTCCTGATGGGATCAGTCAGTTCCCACAGGGATCAGGTGGCTCCAACTGGGATCAGTCATTTCCCACTGGGATAAATCAGTTCCCACTGGGAGCAGTCAATTCCAGCTGGGAATCCTGCTGGGATCACTCGGTTCCCACAGGGATCAGTCAGTTCTCACTGGGATCAGTTGTTGGTTCCTGCTGGGATAAATCAGTTCACACTGGGACCAGTCAATTCCAGCTGGGATCACTCAGTTCCCACTGGATTGAATCAGTTCCTGCTGGAATAAATCAGTTCCCACTGGGATCACTCAGTTCCCACTGGGATCAGCCGTGCCCGATGCCCTTGGCAGGAGGGAGAACCGGGTCTGGGATCCAAGGATGGGATCAGGATCTGCTGTTCCTGTGTCTGAGGGTTCCTCTCACACAGGAGAGGAATCCCAAGTGTCCCAAATTCCACAAGTGGATTTTCCCATGGGAACAGATGCCCCTGGCACGGCCAGGCTGTGGTTGTGTCCAGCAGGGAAGGGAATTCCAGCCAAACCCTCTCCCAGCTCTGTGTGATCGGAGAAACGTGGAGTTTTCCTCTCTCTGAGTGTTGCATCCATATTTTATTCACAAAATCATGGAACATCCCGAGTGGGAAGGGACTCCTGGGGATCCCAAAAATCCCACAGCTCATCCAAACATTCCCATCCTTGGAGAGACTCGGGCTGCTCCGAGCCTGGGTCCAGAATCCGGCAGCAGGAGCGGGGGTGGGAGCTGGGAAAGCTTTTCCAGAGGCTCCGGATCCATCCCAGGGCTGTTTTCCCACCTGATTAACCCTTGGCTGATCCCAGGGCCAGATGCCACCAGGGAGGGGTGGCCCGGGACAGCCCGTGTCCCCCCGTGCCACCGGCTCCGTGGGTTTTCTGGGAGCAGCGTGGGACGGGTGGCCCTGGGAAGGAGGTGACAATGGCACCGTGTCACCTCCGCCTGTCCTGAGCTGCCGGGGGGGTGGGATGGGATTTGCCGGGATGGGATTTGCCAGGATGGGATTTACTGGGGTGGGATTTGCTGCTCCATCAGGAAGGGGACAAGGGGGCCAGCGTGTCCCTGAGTCACCACCCCACAGATTCCTTGGGATTTTCTGTTGGGATTCCTGGAAAAATGGTGCTGGAGCAGCCCCAGTGCCCCCCAGTGAGGGGACACAGGGGTCTCCTGGGTGACACCAAACTTTTCCCTTTCCCACCTGGGTTTTCCCTTTCCAATCCCTATTTCCCCCCTCACTTCCTTTCCATGTTCCTCCCAAATCTCATCCTAATTCAGCCATTGGTTGGGGTTTTTTTTTTCCAATTAAAAATTCCAATATCGGGAGGGCTTTTCCCAACAAAATTTTGATTTGGAAATTAATTGTTTTCATGGGAAGGAATGGAAATTTCAAGGAAATGAATGATTTTCCCTCCAAAATTCCAAGGAAAAACCAGGAGTTTCCTAATATCCCATCTAATTTTTCTCAATGGAAGCCATTCCCTGTGTCCTGTCCCTCCATCCCTTATCCCAAATCCCTCTCCTGGAGCCCCTTTAGGCCCTGAGCTCCCCCTGGATCCTTCCCAGTTCTCCCAGCCTGGCTCCAAACTGGGAAATCCATCCATGGGTTCTTTTTCAATCCGTTATTCCCATTATCCCAACTGTACTGGTTTTGGTTTGTTAATTTAAGATTTTTTTTTTTTTTAAATTTTGAGTTTTTTTAACTAATGTGTTGATGAGTGCGGTGAGTTTTAGTGTTGGCTAATTACTAATTAATTTACTTTCTGTTGTGAGACAGGAAGATGGGATTAGGAGAAAGGTAAAGTAGGTTTAAAATTTTAAAAGGGTATAAAGAAAATGTTATTAACAGGAACTAAAAGAGAAAATATTTTAGAACACTTTTCTCAACAACTTTCCCTTTTCTATTGATGACATAAAAAGACAAAACTTAAAATTTTTAGTCAGTTTACTGCTCTTAAAATAGTACTTTTTTAGTTTACTTAGGGAGAGAAATCTTTTTTGTTAATGCTAATGAGATGTTTCTACAAGAGGAAAAACCGGCTTTTTTTGTGGTTTTAAATTTTTTTATGAATAATAGTTTGAGGAAACTTGTAATTGTGAAGTTTTTCTTATTTTTTTACAAGTTTTTTCACAGCTTGTTTATGGGTTATGTTGGTTTATGGGGTATTGTTTCAAAGATGAGTTGTTTAAAGGTAAAAGTTTTATAATTTATTTCCAACACCACCACGCCAACCCAAGGGGATTTTCTGCTGGTGGCAAAGCTGCTCCGTGCTCCTCAATCAGATTTAACGAAGCAATAAACGGAGCTGCCGGAATGTTCCCCGGGAACAGCAATTCCCAAAGTTTTACTGTTCCTCCTGCAGCCATAAATCGGGAAAAATTGGGATAAACTGGGATAAAAATCCAGCTGCTGCTGGGAGCATCCTGCTGATCCTAACGAGCTGATTCAATCCAATCCCTCACTGTTTAATTCTGTTAAATTCCAAACCCAGATTTCCTTTGCTTCCCATTTCCTGCTCTGGAGCTGGGGTTGTTTTCCAGGAGTGGGGGTGTAGGGAAGGGGTTTTTCCCATTGTTATCCCAAAAAAAAAGATTCTCATTTTAAGAAATGGGAATAAATGAATTCCAGCCCATTCCTCAGAGTGGTTTGTGCACCCAGTGGATCCCAGGGGAGCAGGGCACATTCCAGGTGCTGCTGTTTGTAGGGATTTTGGGAATTCTCTGGGGCTGGATTTGTGTCCTGGCTGGTGCTGGCGTGGAACTTCCTGGGAATTTCTGCAGGAAGAGGAGCTGTTCCCATGGGTTGTTATTTCAGATCCTGGAGGGAGAAAAGAGAGAATTCCATGGAATTCTGAGGAGCAGAGCAGGGCTCGGCCTGGTCCTGCTGGTGAGGGACCGACCCCAACCACCCCTTCCCCTCTCCGTGCCTCCTGTTGGGATTTAGGGATGAGGCTGATGGATTTCTCCTGCTTTTTGGGCTGGCATCAGATCCTTTCAGTGCAGGAAAAAAAATCTAGAAAAACGCTGATTTTTGGGAAAAGCTTTTCCCCTGCCATTCCAGCACCCCCAGCTCAGAATGTCCCTGCTCCCTGCGGCAGCTCCAGCCCCTCCGTGCCGGGAGAATTCCCCGTTCCCGGCGGGAGCAGCCGGGACAATGCCGGGCTGTGTTCTCCAGGAGCCACCTACACGTGCAGGAATTGTTCCCAGGGATTGTTCCCGCTGCCCACATCTGCTCCGGACAAAGGGGCCCTGGAGGAGCCTGGAGGAGCCTGGCATTTTCCAGGGGATGAATTCCCTGTGTGCTTTTCCTTGCACCCGGCCAGCACGATCCTGTGGATCATCCCTGGATCATCCAGCCGGGGCATTCCCGCAGGATTCTGCCCGTGGGTTCAGGCCAGAGATTCCGTGCTGCTTTTACAGCTCAGGAATTGTCTGGAATTTCGTTTCTTCCTGATATTCCTGGATTTTTGCGGCCCCACTGCAGTGGGATTTGTAGGGAGAAGCTGCCCTTGGATCCCTGGAAGTGTCCAATGCCAAGTTGGAACAACCTGGGATAGGGAAAGGTGTTCCCGTCCTTGGGATGAGCTTTAAATTCCCTTCCCAACCCAAATCATTCCAGGATTCTATGACTTCCCATCCGAGCTTGGGCTCAGCCCTTTTATATTCCCATATTTACAAATAACCCCCAGGAATCTGTGCCAGGAACTTTTTCCTTCTCTCTCAGCCTTTCCCCACCCCCAAATCCAAGGAAAACAAAAAATCCCTCCATTTTCAGCCCCAAATTCTTCCTGTTTGGACTCTTTTTAGCCCCCACGGCCTGTTTGAAATGGATTTAAAGCTTTTGGTTGTTCTTTTGGGATCTGCATTTGTTGTCTGGGTGGAAAATGGGATCCTGGGAGCGTGGATGGGATCTGGCAGCAGCGAGGGGAACATCTGGACCCTGGCTGGGAATGGGATTGTTTGGAGACCAAAAAATCCCAATCCTAGAATTCCGCTGGATCGATGCCAGGATTTTTGGGACAACGGCTCCAGACCCCTGAGCTCATCCTGATGCCCTGAGGGATCGGATATTCCTCAGCATTTTCAATGCGTAAAATACAATTATTATTGATTTTTTTTTTCAACAGCAAATCCACATTTTTATTCCATCCCACAGGCTCCATTTGCATCCCACTGCTCCCAGGAATTTTCTCTTGGTCCCTGGGCACTGACTCCAGGACTGGAGCCCAAACAACCCCATAAATCCTTCCAGCAGGACAATCCTGGGCTCAGGCGAGCTGTTCCCACGTGTCCCCCAAATCCTGGCCACCATTCCTGGCCCCATTCCCACCATTTTTTGGGCGGAAACACCGCGTTCCCGAAGTTTCCGAAGGGAAAACGCCCGGATTGGCTCAGTGATGTGACTCTGGGGTCGGTTATTTCCAGCTGAGGATCCCTCTGCACCTGCCACCACCCCAGGGGACACCCCAAAGTCACCCCAAGGGACATCCCGAGGTCCTGAGGCCACCCAGGGAAGCTCCAAGATGATCCCAAGGAGAGCCCAGGTCACCTGCGCCGGAATTGCCTTCGCCCTCTGCCTCCAGCACCTCGTCAGCGCAATCGAGGTCCCCCTGGACTGTAAGTTTGGGGTTTATCCTCTCCATTCCTTCCCAAAAATTCCTCACTGGGATGGGGAGGAGGTGGGATGAAGGTGGGAACATCCCAGGTGGATTTTCTCCTCCACAGCTGGGTTTTCTCCTCCATATTTGGATTTTTCTCCTCTACATTTGGGTTTTTCTCCTCCACATTTGGGTTTTCTTCTCCAGATTCAGATTTTTCTCCACCACATTTGGGTTTTCTCCTTGACACTTGAATTTTCTTCTCCAAATTTGGGGTTTCTCCTCCAAATTTGGAATTTCTGCTCCACACTTGGGTTTTCTCCTTGACAACTGAATTTTCTTCTCCAAATTTGGGGTTTCTCCTCCAAATCTGGATTTTCTCCTCCACAGTTGGGTTTTCTCCTTGGCAGTTGAATTTTCTCCTCCACGTTTGGGATTTCTCCTCCAAATTTGGCTTTTCTCCTCCACATTTGAAAGAAAGGGGTTTTTTTCCTGTAGGGTTTCCAAGGCCTGCAAAACGTGGATTTGTTTTGTGGCTGTGCTGGGAACAGGGTTGAATTAACCTCCTGTCTTTTTCCCTCTATGCTTTCCCTTTGGGAATAACAGCAAATATCCAGAGTGAATGTAAGTGTCCCCTTCCCCCGGGTGGTCGTGTCCTTGTCCCCAAAACTGCATGAGGGGACCCTGAGCAGGGGCTGGTGGTGGCAGTGGTGGCACAAGGGGGACATGGCCCCTTCTGAGCCAATTTTCCCGCACATCCAGTTTGGGAAAGGTGTGGAAAAGCTGGAGAAATTTGGGAAGAGCTCCCAGCTCCTTGTGCTGGCCCCAGAGAAGGGGCTGGGGCTGTGTTTGCTGTGGAAAAGTTGTTCCTGCAGGGTTTGGGTTTGGAGAAGGGCAGGAATCCTCTCCTGACACCCGTGCCAAGCTCAGTCCCTCATCCTGACGAGGTGGGAACATCCCTGGATCTCAGAGGATGGAGAAACAGCCTTGGATCTTTACCCCAGGAGATGAGATCTGCAGTTTGGAGATCAGGGCTGGGCCCTGTCCAATCCATGGGGTTCCTGTGTCCTTTTTTCCATCCCTGCCCTCCTAAATTCCAGGTCTGAGCTCCTTCGCGCTCATCCTGGGGGGTTGGAATCTCTTCCTTGTACCAGGAATTTCTCAGGATCCCTGACCCAGCCCCTTCTGAGCTGCAGATCCAGGATGAATTCCCACTGGATTCACCCTGTGGGAACAGGAGGCTGGAACTGGGACATTCCCTGTGGAGACCAAGATACAGAGAGGGAATTGAGGATTTTTGGTACCTAAAGGGAGTCCAGACACTGTGATGGTCTGAGAGGTGACGAATTCAGGGAATTCACAGGAATTTCCTCAGGATTCAACCTCCAAATCACACACCCAGCTGGGGGAAGGAGCTGAGATCCCAACAGGAATTGCTGAGGGATGTCCCCCGGTTCCTCACGGATTTCCCATTCCTCGCAGTGCCACAGCCCCCCACGATCACCAAGCAATCCATCAAGGATTACATCGTGGATCCCAGGGATAACATCTTCATCGAATGCGAAGCCAAGGGCAACCCCGTTCCCACGTGAGTGCGTTCCCAACGCTCATCCCGCTGTCCCGCGGCGCTCCGGAGCCGCTCCCACCATCCCATCCCATCCCATCCATCCCATCCCATCCCATCCCATCCCATCCCATCCCACTGCTGGCACAGCACGGGTAAGGACCTCCCCGGGTCCACGGTTCCAAACCCAGCCTTTCCCTGCCATTCCAGCTTTTCCTGGACGCGGAATGGGAAGTTCTTCAACGTGGCCAAGGATCCCAAGGTGTCCATGAGGAGGAGATCGGGGACTTTGGTCATCGACTTCCACAGCGGGGGCCGGCCCGATGACTACGAGGGCGAGTACCAGTGCTTCGCCAGGAACGACTACGGCACGGCCCTTTCCAGCAAAATCCACCTCCAGGTTTCCAGTGAGTGATTCCCGGGAAACAGAGCAAGGCCACGGGAAGTTTGGGGGGGAATATCCAGCACTCAAATGGCTCCAGGTGTGTCCAGGTGTGCCCAGGGGACAGGGAAGGAATGGAAGCTGTGGCTGGAGCTGATGGGGAATTGCTCGGGATGGATTTGAGGGGATGGATTTGAGGATATAAATTTAAGGGTAAGGATTTCAGGGATGGATTTGATGGATAAATTTAAGGGGATGGACTTGAGGGTGTGGAGCTGAGGATATGAATTTAAGGTTAAGGATTTCAGGGGTGGATTTGAATGTGGATTGAGGGCATGGATTTAAGGGGATGGAATTTAGGATATGAATTTTAGGGTGTGGATTTCAGGGATGGGCTTGAGGGTGTGGAATTGAAGGCATGGAACTGAGGTTGTGAATTTAAGGGTAAGGATTTCAGGGATGGATTTGATGGATGAATTTAAAGGGATGGGTTTCAGGATATGGATTTGAATATGGACTTGAGGACATGGATTTAAGGGGATGGAATTGAGGGGATGGAATTGAGAATATGAATTCAAGGATGAGGATTCCAGGGGTGGACCTGGGGAATGAATTTAGGGGTGTGGATTTCAGGGATGGATTTGAGGGATGAATTTAAGGGTACAGATTGGGGTATGTATTTCAGGGCATGGATTCCAGGGGATGAATTCCGGCGAGTTTTGCACACACCCAGATGAATTTTGCACTGAAACCGGGCCGGGTGCAGCGGGAATCACTCCGCAGGAATCCTTCCCTCCATTCCTCACTTTCCTTTGCTTCCCACGGCAGAGTCTCCGCTGTGGCCCAAGGAAAAGGTGGATGTGATCGAGGTGGACGAGGGGGCCCCGCTGAGCCTGCAGTGCAACCCCCCGCCCGGCCTCCCCGAGCCCGTCATCTTCTGGATGAGCAGCTGTGAGTCGGGAGCGCCTTTCCCACCGGGAATTCCGGGAATTGCGGCTCCATCACCTGTAGGGTTTAAAATAACCATGGGTGGGGTTGTTGCTGGTAGTTCGGAGTTGGTTCTGTCAGCCTGGGGTTGTTCCTGATAGTTTAAGGTTGGTCCTGATCGTTTAGGGCTGTCTCTACTAATTTAGGGTAATTTCTATTTGTTTAGGATCATTTCTATTAGTTTAGGGCACTTTCTGCTACTTTAGGGCTGGTCTTGATCATTTAGGGTAATTTCTGCTCGATTAGGGTTGTTTCTGCTAGTTTAGGATGCTAGCTCAGGGTCACTGCTGGTAGTTTAGGGTAATTACTGCTAATTAAAGACACTTTCTGCTAGTTTAGGGTAGTTTTTAGTAGTTTGGGGTCATTACTGGTAATTTAGGGGTTTTTTTCTGCTAACTTAGGACACTTTCTGCTAGCTTAGGGTTATTTCTGGTAGTTTAGGGTAATTACTACTAGTTTAGGGCACTTTCTGCTAGTTTAGGGTAGTTTTTAGTAGTTTGGGGTCGTTACTGGTAGTTTAGGGGTTTTTTTTTTATGCTAACTTAAGACATTTCCTGCTAGCTTAGGTCATGGCTGCTAGTTTAGGGTAATTTGTGGCAGTTTAGGGTAATTACTACTAATTAAGGGCACTTTCTGTTAATTTAGGGTCATTACTGGTAATTTAGGAGGTTTTTTCTGCTAACTTAGGACACTTTCTGCTAGTTTAGGGTCGTTACTGATAATTTAGGGGTCTTTTTCTGCCAAATTAGGACACTTTCTGCTACTTCAGGGTCGTAACCACTGATTTAGGGAACTTCCTGCTAATTTAGGAGGTTTTTTTCTGCTAACTTAGGACACTTTCTGCTAGTTTAGGTTTGTGGCTGCTGGCTTAGGGTCGTTGCTGCTAGTTTAGGGTAATTAAGGGCACTTTCTGCTAGTTTAGGGTCGTTACTGATAATTTAGGGGTCTTTTTCTGCCAAATTAGGACACTTTCTGCTACTTCAGGGTCGTAACCACTGATTTAAGGCATTTCCTGCTAATTTAGGACAGCTTAGGTCCCTTCCTCCTCCTTCAGGCTCAGCACCCCTACTCCGCACCTCCCACGCCCCATCCCTCCGCCATTCCCGTTCTCCATAAATCCCGGCCGGCCCTGAATTCCCGCCGCTCTCCCGCAGCCATGGAGCCGATCCCGCAGGACAAGCGCGTGTCCCAGGGCCACAACGGGGACCTTTACTTCTCCAACGTGCTGGCGCAGGACGCGCTGACGGACTACAGCTGCAACGCCCGCTTCCACTTCACCCACACCATCCAGCAGAAGAACCCCTACACCCTCAAGGTCAAAACCAGTAAGTGGCTCACTGGGGGACCAGTTTGGGCTCCATCCCAAAGGGTTTTCCGGCCAGGAATCCAGCAAGGGAAGAGTGGCTCCCGTGGTTTGGTTTGGGTGGGGTAAGGATGGGTTTGGGTGGTTTTGGGGTGAGTGGGGAGGGAGGGGTTGTAGCTTCCTGGTTTTAGGGCAGGCAGGGGCTGCCGGCTGTGATGGGGTGGGATTTTGGGTGGGAATTGCGGGATTTTGGTGGGATTTGGGTGTAAATTTTGGGATTTTGGTGGTTTGGGGTAGAAATTGCCAATTCTGTGTGTTTGGGGTAAAACGGGAGCGTTGCACACATGGAGCGTTCCCACCGTCTCCAGGGAAATGCAGGAATTGCCGATTCCATGTGTTTGGGAAAAAACTGGGAGCGTTTCACAGATGGGGCGTTCCCACCGTCTCCGGGGAAATGCAGGAATTGCCAATTCCGTGTGTTTGGGATAAAAGTGGGAATGTTTTGACGGAGATGTGGCATTCCCACTGTCCCCAGGGAAGTGTAAAATATCCAGAGGTATCTTGAAGCGGGAATCACCAAATCCTGATGTTGGGATAAAACTGGGAGTGTTTCAGCACAGTTGGGGCATTCCCACCATCTCCAGGGAAATGCAGGAGTCACCAATTCCGTGTGTTTGGGATAAAACTGGGAATGTTTCAGCACATATGAGGCATTCCCATCATCTCCAGAGAAATTCAGAAATTACCAGTTCCATGTGGTCGGGGTAAACTGGAGAGTGTTTCACATATGGGGCATTCCCACCATCTCCAGGGAAATGCAGGAATCACCAATTCCATGCGTTTGGGATAAATTGAAGAGTTTTGACATGTCTGGAGCATTCCTACTGTCTCCAGGGAAATGTGAAATATCCAGAGGTGATATGGGGCAGGAATCACCGATTCCCTGTGTTTGGGATGAGCTGGAGAGCGTTTCCATATCATCAGGGAAATTCATCCCCAGGGAAGTGTAAAATATCCAGCGGTGACTTGGAGCAGGAATCTCCAATTCCACATCTTTGGGATAAAACGGGGCGTTTCCACATTCCCACCAGGTTCAGGGAAATGTGAAACATCCTGGGATCATTCCCTGCTCTGGGAAGGTGGAGATGGCCATGGTGGGGATTGGATGTGGAAAAACGAGCGTGGAATGTGGCTGTGGATATTCCTGAGCTTCCTTCGCTCTGGGAAATGCCTCCAGGAGGGTGGGAGCCTCTGGAATCCGGTGGGAGCCTCTGGAATCCGGTGGGACACTCGGGATGGGTGTCCCCACCGAGCGCCGATGAGGGGACACCGGGGACTCTCTCCGGAGCCTTTCCGCTGTCTCTGGGCCCTTCCAGGGCACGTTTTCCTCTGGGAATGAGAATTCCTGAAGGAAAAGGAAATCCTGGTGCTTCTGTAAGAGGGAATGGGGCCAATCTGAGGGACACGAGGACCCTGAGCTGTCACAGGGGCTCGAGGGGACAAAATCCTCCATGGATATCAACCACCAGTGGGCAGGAGCTCCCACCCATCCCCAGCATTCCCAGGAATGGGAGGTGCTGGCAGTTTTTTGGGAAGCACCAGGCGCTCCTGAATGCTGGCGGGAGGAATTTAATTTGATTTCCCGGCAGCTTGAATGAACAGGAATGGGATGAGAGGGACACGGGAGTGATGAGTTTTCCACCTCGGTGTAGCAGCTCCTCCTCGGTGCAAAGCTGGAGTAGGGAATCAGGGATTTAAATAATTTCAGGAGGATCTGTCTTTTCCGGTGCTGGGAATGTGGGCAGCTCATTCATTCCGGATATTATTTGTAAATTCTGGATATTATTTGTGAATTCCGAATATTTGTCGTTTTGCAGAACTGGGCAAAGAAAATCCCGACATTTATTTTTGGGAAAAATCCCAGCAAACAAAGATCCGTGGGGTTTGAAGCCTCCAAGGGCTCCACGCTGATGATTTACCCAGCTCTGGAAGTGACCTGGATGAAATCCCAGTGGATTTTCATGGATTTGAGCTCCCCTCAAATATCTCCACATCTCTTCACTCCCAGACCTTGGAAAATCAAATCCTTCTCTTCCAGTTCTCCTTGGGAAAAATTTGCTGTAGGATCAGAGGCAAATTCCATCCCAGGAGCCTCCCAGATTCCTTTAAAAATTTGGGAACTGAGGCTTTAATTTCCCATACAAAATATTCTTCATCCATAAAGTTTTGCAAGGGGATGAGGTCGGATTTGTCCAAAGCTCTTGGATCATCTCTCCCTTAATCCCTAAGCTTGGCTCCTTCAAAAAGCCTTCCCAAGCTCCTGAAAAATAATGGAATGGGATGTAGGAGGAAAATGGGAAGGTTCCAGGGGGGGATCACCTTAAAGGGATTTTACAGCAGGTTGTGCTCTTAAAATTTTTCTTTTTTAAAATTATTATTATTATTATTATTATTATTATTATTATTATCATCCAGCATATTGTATTCTTAAAACATAATAATAATAATTATTTCATCTCCTCCATGCCTTCCTACATCATTGTGCAGCTGTGTTCATTCCATGGGAAAAAGCATCTGGAATGCAAAATTTTTGTAGTCAAAAAACAGGAAAAAAAAACATTTTCCCCTCCAAATTTCTCTGATTTTTGGGTTTTCCCAAAGATTCCAAAGAGAAAACCATTCCAAGGAAGTATTTTCTCTACTATTCCCACACTTTTAGCTCTTCCCATCCCTTGGAGAGGGAAATCAGCCCCTTTTCCTGCTGCTCCTCCTGTGTTTGTCCTGGAAGGCGCCGCGCTCCGAGTGCTTTTGGATCCCTGCTCCCGCCTGTCCCGTCCTTGCTGATTTCTGGGAATTCTCGTGTTCCCTGCCCTGTCCTCTCCTTGCTGTTTTTTGGAAATTCCCCATGTTGCCATCCATGCTGTTTTTCAGGAATTCTCTGTGTCCTCCATCCTGGCTGGTTTTTTTGGGGGAATTCTGTGTGTCCCCTGTCCTTTAGATTTTTGGGATGTCCCCATGTCCCCCACCCTGTCCTATCCTTGGTGTTTTTTTGGGAATTCCTTGTGTCCCCAGCCCTGGCTGTTTTTTGGGATGTCCCCATATCCCCCACCCTGTCCATTTTTTGGGATGTCCCCATATCCCCCACCCTGTCCATTTTTTGGGAATTCCCGTGTCTCCCACCCTGTCTGGTTTTTGGGAATTCCCCGTGTCTCCCACCCCATCCATTTTTTTAAATTCCCTTGTCTCCCACCCTGTCTGGTTTTTGGGATGTCCCCATGTCCCCCACACTGTCTGCTTTTTGAGAATTCCTGTGTCCCCCATCCTGTCCGTTTTTTTGGGAATTCCTGTGTCTCCCACCCTGTTTTTTGGGATGTCCCCATGTCTCCCACACTGTCTGCTTTTTGGGAATTCCCGTGTCCCCCACCCTCTCCATTTTTTTAGAAATTCCCATGTCCCCCACCCTCTCTGTTTTTAGGAATTCCCATGTCCCCCACCCTGTCTGTTTTTTGGGAATTCCCATGTCCCCCACCCTCTCCATTTTTTTAGAAATTCCCATGTCCCCCACCCTCTCTGTTTTTTAGGAATTCCCGTGTCCCCCACCCTGTCTGCTTTTTAGGAATTCCCGTGTCTCCCACCGTCTCAGTTTTTTAGGAATTCCCATGTCTCCCACCCTCTCTGTTTTTTAGGAATTCCCATGTCCCCCACCCTGTCTGATTTTTAGGAATTCCCGTGTCCCCCACCCTCTCTGTTTTTTAGGAATTCCCATGTCTCCCACCCTCTCTGTTTTTTAGGAATTCCCATGTCTCCCACCCTCTCTGTTTTTTAGGAATTCCCATGTCTCCCACCCTCTCCGTTTTTTGGGAATTCCCGTGTCTCCCACCCTCTCCGTTTTTTGGGAATTCCTGCATCCCCCAGCCTGTCGGGTTTTTTGGGAATTCCCGCGTCCCCTTCCCACGCCGTCCCCGCCTCCCCGGCGCCGCTCACGGTGTTTTGTTCAATTGCAGAGAAGTCCCATAACGAAACGTCTTTAGGAAATTCCCCCGCCATGTACCGCGGTGAGTCCACGCTGGCTTTGGGAGTCCCGGCTTAACCCAGTCCCGCCTAACCCCACTGACCCCATTCCCTGCCCGCGTCCCTTTGGCTGTCACCACGTCCCCATCGTGGCCTCAGCTTTGCCAAAATTTATCCGCATAAATCCATCCGAGCCACCACAAAACCCCACGAAGCTCCCCAGTTCTGCTGAGAGGGGTTTAAATGAGTTAAGCCCGGCTTGGAGGTTTGGGGTTATAGGGTCTGCCCCACGTGGCTGAACCGAGTTTAGTCCCTCCTGAGCAAAACTCAGCATTTAAACATCAGATCCTCATCCCTCTTTTCTGTGTCTCCAGAAGAACATTTCCAGTGTGAGGATTCCTGGGATTTTTATTCCCTTTTATTCCTGAACTCAGGCAGGGATAAAAAGAGGGAAGAAAGAGAGGAACAGTTGGGTTTTCCTGAAATCTGGGTGATTCCTGTGCAGAGAGGTTGGACATGAGCTTCCACAGGTTCCTGCCCTTTGCTGGGACAGGAAATTCCCTCTGGATTCTGCCTCTGTTGGGAGAATCCCATGCCAAAATCTGGGCAGGGAATTCCCTCTGGATTCTGAGCCTGTTGGGAGAATCTCATCCCTAAATCTGGGCAGGGAATTCCCTCTGAATTCTGTGCCTGTTGGGAGAATCCCATGCCAAAATCCTAAATCTGGGCAGGGAATTCCCTCTGGATTCTGCCTCTGTTGGGAGAATCTCATCCCTAAATCTGGGCAGGGAATTCCTTCTGGATTCTGCCTCTGTTGGGAGAATCTCATCCCTAAATCTGGGCAGGGAATTCCTTCTGGATTCTGTGCCTGTTGGGAGAATCCCATGCCAAAATCCTAAATCCAGGCAGGGAATTCCCTCAGGATTCTGAGCCTGTTGGGAGAATCCCATGCCAAAATCCTAAATGGTGCTTCAGGCACAAAAACCCCAGGATGGTTGCTGTGGGAATGGGTTGGAATTCTCAGGGATGTGTTGGGCTGACAAGGGCAGCCATCAGGGATTTTGGGAAGCAGGAGATGGGGCTGTTTTGGGAATCCTGGCAATGCCACCACCTCTCCAAAGCCACCACGGATGCCAACTGCTCCCAGATCCGGAGCTGTCCCGGACAGGATTCCCTTCCTGCCCTTCCTGCTGCTTTTGGGGCAGGGGTTGTGCGGGGTCAGCTCCGGGAATGTCCCTTGCTGTCCCCACCGTGTCCTGGAGTGAAATCCCTGCGGAGCCGGAGCTCCCTCGGGGCTTGGCACAGTCCAGGGCACAATTCCCATCCCGCAGGGACTTTTGGGGACAAGGAGGGCGTTGCCAGCTGGGAACAGGGAGAGCCAGAGAAGGGCGGGATGTGCCAGGCCAAGGCACAGCCAAGGGAATTGGGATCCTGGCATCGGGAGCAGGAGGGTTTGGAGGAGGCTGAGGGGCTGGGAAAGGCTCAGCAGTGGAATCTGCCTGGGAGGAAGTGCTGGAATGGGCTGGAAAGTCTGGGAATACTTGGAAAAATGGCTGGGAAAAGGGATCGTCAGCAAAATCAGCTTCGGGGGGAGCAGCATCAACCACCTGGAAGGGAGGGGACAAGAAATAGGACAGAGACAAAGGGAATTCCAGTGGAGAGTTTTCCTGGGCTTCTGGATTCCCCACTGGTCATCTTCATTCCGGGATATGGGATCTTAAGAGTTGCTCCATCAGGAAAATGGGATTTTATCTGCACAATCCCATTCTGTCCCTCATTTTGTGTGTGCACAGGAGAAACTTACTGCTGCTTGTGTTGTAACATTCCCTGGAAAACCTCCTGGCTCCAGAAGATTCCAATCCCCCCCTCCCACCTCTGTGCAGACCTGGACTCCAACCCAGGCCTTAATTAACTCAATAATTAATGAACTGGGGGTAACAATTCTTCCCCTCTGTCCTTTTCCTTGTGGCTGCCTCAGAGTTCCTCCCTGGAATGACCTGGTTGGAAATGCTGGAGCTTTGGATGTGGAGAGGGATGTGAATCCCAAGGATTTGGGGTGCTGGGGGGATCTGGGGCTCTTGGCTGTTCTTCCTTGGGGTGCAGATCCCCACAATCCCAGCTCTGCTCCAGAGGCAGCTGGAAAAGGTGTCTGGAAGGTTGGGAATCCCATTGCCATGATGTTCCTGAGCTTGGGAATAGGGGATCTGCTGGTGGGGACGTGGAGCAGGGAGATTTGTGGGATACTTGTCCCAAATTCCTCTCCAGGGCTGGGATAACCACAGGAAGTGTCACCCACCCTTCGTCCCCAGGGCTTGGAGTGATGATTCCCAGAATTCTGTGGGCAGTTATCAGGGAAAAACCATCCAAAATGATAAATGGAACACTTCATTAGCAGAATTTCCCTTTTTAAAGGAATTCAAACCCTGCTTTGTCCCATTTCCTCTCTTTTTTTGGCAAACCTGAGGCTGTTTGGGCCTGACTGAGGTTGAGCAGCTGGGATGTGTCAGGATGAGCACATCCCTGGAAAAGAGAGCTGATGGGGGAATTTTAGATGGGAAAGGGACAGCTCTGGGGTGTGAGTCAGATATTTCTGGGATGTTCCCAGTCCACAGCAAAGCTTGGGAGCGGAGTGAATTTTTAAGCTGAAATAAACAGCCCCAGGATTTATTTTTCCAGCTTGGATCCATCCAGAGGGATGAGGGAAACCTTGGCACTTCCAGCTGGAACTTCCACATGCTCAGAGCCTCTGGTTCAGAGGGAATTCCTGGCTGGTCCCTGTCAGAAACAGCAAAATATTTATTATTTATTAATTTTATTTATTAATTATTATTTATTAATGGTGCTGTGCTGAGGCAAAAATCCGGGTTTTTTCCATGCTGTCCTTAGGTTCATTAAAGCCAGGAGGGTACTAATTAATCTCCCTGATTTTTAATTGCCATCATTAATACAGGCTTGTAAAATCCAGCTTGCTCTGCTTAGTGCTTCCAGTTATCCCATGGGATCCAGAGTGGGAGTAAATCCTGATCAAAGCCAATCTTGGCTGATAAAAGAGTGAATTCCCACTTTTCTGGTTTGGCTGGAGAAGCTCCCAGTTGTGGTGGAGGTTTGGGAGTTCTGCCCTGGGATGGGCTGAGCTGGTTTAACCGGGAATGAGACTTCCTCTGGGAGCAGGGATGCAGACAGACCCGGAGAACTCGGCTTTTTGGGATAAAGTCGGGATTTTCCTGCCCTGATAATCCATTAATCCATAACTGACTAACTGGAATCGCACGTGGAGCCCGTGGGAGAGGTGGGATGTGGGTGTGGAACCAACCCCAAGGATTCCATGGATGAATCCTGGGGTTGGATTTTCCTTCCCTAAGGTGGGAATTCCAGGAAGAATCCTCGTCCTCACTCCCCTCCTCCTGCCCCTGCTGCAGTTCTGGAAGTTTCCCAAAATTCCCAAAATTGTCCTATTCATTGAGCCAAGGAAGTTTCGGGGCACCGGGATGGTCTCTCCCCATGGATCACTCCAGGATTTTTTGTGTCCCTGTTCCGATCCCATCCCACCATTTTCCTCATCCCATAACTTCCATCCCTGCTACTGCTGCTTTCCCTCCCATCTCATCCTGTTTTGTCCTCACCGATCCAGATCTAGGTCAATCATTCCACTCCTTAATGGAATTTTTTCCATGAATAATTAATTTTTTCCCCCTGCACAGAAGCCTTCACTGTGCGTGGGTCCATAGGGAATTGTCTCGTGTCTTCCCTTTGTTTTTTTCCCATTAAACTTCCCTGTCCAGCCCTAAATGGGTCATTTTGGTGGCTGAGCTGTCCCTTTCCAAGGGGATCCGTCCTTCCAGGCCTCCAGGAAATCTGGAAAACCTCCTTGGTACAGCTGGAGCCCTGGGGATGCTCCGTATCCCGGAGAATTCTGTGGAAAAGTGGCTCTGGTTCTGAAGAAACCCTTTCTGTGCCAGTTATTCCTGCTGTCCTTTGTTATATGTTGCATCCATCGACATTTCCCAATTCCATCTGATCCCAGCCCATTTTCCAGCGGCAGGGAGGGCAGGAAAAGCAGGAACTGATGGAATGGGGACCATCCCCAACGCTCAGTCCCCTCTGCTGCTCCTTCTCTCCCCTGCCTGCCAAACTTCCTCTTTCTCCCCTTCTTTTTTTAAAAATTCATTTGGAGCCCTCCTTCCCTTTCCAGGCACATTCCCGGGTGAGTTCAGAATCCCGGGATGGCCAGGGAGGTGACACCTTCCATGGATTCCCAGACACTTTTAAAAGAACTGTGTTCTATTTTCTTTTCTTTTTTTTTTTTTTTTCTTTCTGTTTTTGGTTTTGTTTTGTTTCTCCTTCTCTCCCACTGATTCCAGCCCGAGGGATCACGGAAACCACTCCCAGCTTCATGTATCCCTACGGAACTTCCAGCAGCCAGATGGTGCTCCGGGGGGTGGACCTCCTGCTGGAATGCATCGCCTCTGGAGTGTATGTACCACGGAGAGGGTGATTCCCAGCAATTCCCAGCGGGATCAGCGCAAGGAATCACCCCCGAATTGGGAAAAAAGGATCATTCCCTCCTTTTTAGTTGTTAACAAAGCTCCCATAACCTGCTCGATGAGCAAACGGAAATGCTGAGGTTTCCAGCTGTCTTCAGATCCTTGTCCAAGGATAATTCCCGGCCACTGGTTTGTCCCCAAATTTGGGAATTTCCAGGAGCTCCTCACCATGCTGTGGGGGAGGACATTTGTGTCCCCCCAAAGTGTCCTGGGCTTGTGGTCCAGCCCACACCATCAGACCGTGATCAGGGATGGGCTTTGAGGTCCCTTCCACCCCAAACCATTCCAGAATTCCATGATCCTGCATTCCCAGGAGGATCAGGAGGAGAACACCATTCCTGACCCGCTGGGAATGCTCAGGGCCGTGGTTTAGAGGCGGTGGTGGGAATGAGGGTGGCCCACCAGTTAGATCAGACCTTCCCCCTGGGTTTTAGTGGTTCCCAGGATGGGAATTTCACTGTTATTTAGGAATCCCAACTCTTTACCTGGGAGTCATTCCCTAGCCTCTGGAAAAGCTCTGATCTGCTCCCCTCTCCTCAGACCAGCGCCAGACATCATGTGGTACAAGAAAGGCGGAGAGCTCCCGGTGGGCAAAACCAAGCTGGAGAACTTCAACAAGGCGCTGCGCATCTCCAACGTGTCCGAGGAGGACTCCGGGGAATATTTCTGCCTGGCCTCCAACAAGATGGGCAGCATCCGCCACACGATCTCGGTGAGAGTGAAGGGTACGTCACCTTTACCTTCCCTCTTTGGGTCCTGGCCGCCTGGAGCCGGGAGGGGACATTCATGGAATGCTGGGAGGGACAGCGGGGCCTTTCCCTGGGGATGGGGCTGTGCTGCGTCTGCGTTCTTCAGGGAATCATGGAATGCGTTGGCTTGGAAGGACTTCAGAGATCACCCAGCTCCAGGACACATTCCATGATCCCATGTTGCTCCAAGCCCCATCCTACCCGGCCTTGGGCGCTCCCAGGGATGGGGCAGCCACAGCTTCACTGGGAATTCCATCCCAGCCCCTCCCCACCCTCCCAAGGAATTATGCCATCCCAATATCTCCTATTTAAATCTTCCCTTTTTTGAATTAAATCTTGTCCAAACAGCCCCAAAAGCAGTGGGAGATGGAATCCCACAGAGAAATTGGTGTGGCCAGGGAGAGAAAAGGTGTCTCTCCTCCTTCACCGAATCCCGGGAAACCCACTCTGTTTTTCCATCACCTTCTGTCCCCGGGGACTGTTGGCGGGGGGAATTTGGGGTGGTGCCGCTGTCCCTGTGTCACCGGGCCGGGGCTGTTTTCCAGCTGCTCCCTACTGGCTGGATGAGCCGGAGAACCTGATCCTGGCCCCCGGCGAGGACGGCAGGCTCGTGTGCCGGGCCAACGGCAACCCCAAACCGTCCATCCAGTGGCTGGTGAACGGAGAGCCCATCGAATGTGAGTGCGGGAGAAACTGGGCCTCCTCCTCCAAAACCCCTGCCAAAATCCCAGCCCAAAATCCCAGCCCAAAATCCCAGCCAATGATCTCATGAGTAAGCATGAGCCAGAATTGCCTCCTTCTGCAAAATCCCACCAAAATCCCAGCCAAGGATCTCCTGCCTGAACATGAACCAGTGTGGTTTCCTCCTCCAAAATCCCAGCCCAAATCCTGCCAAAATCCCAACCAAAGGTCTTATGGCTGAGCACGAGCCAGAGTTGCCTCCTTCTCCAAAATGTCAGCCAAAATCCCAGCAAAATCCCAGCCAAGGGTCTCATGGCTGATCATGGGCCAGAGTTGCCTCCTTCTCCAAAATCCCTGCCAAAATCCCAGCAAAATCCCAGCCAAGGGTCTCATGGCTGATCATGGGCCAGAGTTGCCTCCTTCTCCAAAATCCCTGCCAAAATCCCAGCCCAAAATCCCAGCCANCAAAATCCCAGCCAAGGGTCTCATGGCTGATCATGGGCCAGAGTTGCCTCCTTCTCCAAAATCCCTGCCAAAATCCCAGCCCAAAATCCCAGCCAATGATCTCATGAGTAAGCATGAGCCAGAATTGCCTCCTTCTGCAAAATCCCACCAAAATCCCACCCAAGGATCCTGCCTGATCATGAACCAATGTGGCTTCCTCCTCCAAAATCCCTGCCCAAATCCCATCCAAGGATCTCATGGTCGAGTACAAGTCACAGTTGCCTCCTTCTCCAAAATGTCAGCCAAAATCCCACAAAAATCCCGGCTAAGGATCTCATGGCTGATCGTGGGCCAGAGTTGCCTCCTTCTCCAAAATCCCAGCCCAAATCCCAGGCAAAATCCCAGCCCAAATCCCAGCCAAGGATCTCCTGGCTGAACATGAGCCAGAGCTGCTGGTGGTGTCCAACACCCACGTGGGGCTCCACGTGAACCCCCAGCTTGTCTGGGATGGGCCCAGTTCACCCAGTGGCTCCCAGTTGTGGCTGTGGAGCTCACATACCACCACCGGGTTTGAACTGGGCTGAGCTGGGAGGACGCTCCATGATATTATGGGGTGGATTTTCATCTGGAATTGAATTGAAGGACTTGTCCTCGTTTTGAAGCGTCTCCCCCCAATCCGAGCCGGGAGGTGGCCGGGGACACCATCGTGTTCCGGGACACGCAGATCGGCAGCAGCGCCGTGTACCAGTGCAACGCGTCCAACGAGCACGGCTACCTGCTCGCCAACGCCTTCGTCAGCGTGCTGGGTGAGCCTGCGGGAATGGGAGCTCCCAAAACTCACATTTCCATGGAATCTGAGGATGGCTTGGGCTGGGAAGCACCTTAAAGCTCAGCTCAAAGGTCATCTTAAAAGGGTGGATGCAGCTCTTAGTGCCACGGTGGTGTTGGGTCATAGGTTGGACTTGATGATCTTAAAGGTCTTTTCCAACCTTTCTGGAAACTTTTCCAACCTTTTTCCAGCCGGTTGGTTCTGGGATTCATCTAAAATTCCACCCTCTTGGAAGGGTGGGGCATGGAACACTGTCCCAGGGTGCTCCAAGCCCTGTCCTACCTGGCCTTGGACACTTCCAGGGGTATCCAGGGGCAGCTACAGCTTCTCTGGGAATTCCATCCCAGCCCCTCCCCACTCTTCCAGCCAGGAATTTCTTCCCAATATCCCACCCAAGCTCTCCTATTTTAGTTTAAATTAATTCCCCTTTATCCTATTACCATATTCCCATGTAAAAGTCGCTCTTCCTGGTTTTTCCAAGCCCCCTTTTCCCTGCTGAAATTTTCCATGAGTTTTCCCCTTTGCTGCTCTGAGGGAATGCACAAAGGCACCCAGGCTTTGGAGCGGGAATCCATTGCCATGGATTCAAACCAGGCAAAGGCTGAGCAAATCCGGGGATAACGAGGCTGGAAAGAGAGGGAAGGTGAGATGAGCAGGAATTGAGAAGCACTACTGGGTTTTGAAAGTGCCAGTAGGAAAAGTGAATTTAAAAACAGGGAAAAAGCTGGGAAAGAGCAGCAGAAACCATTTTTCCTCCTTTTCCATGGCTGGATTTCTGGTGGTTGGCAGATGTTCCCCCCCGGATCCTGGGCCCCCGGAACCAGCTGATCAGGGTGATCCAGAACAACAGGACGCGCTTGGATTGTCCCTTTTTCGGGTCCCCCATCCCCACCCTGCGCTGGTAAGAGCCGGATCCCATCCCGCTCCATCCCAAGGGGTGGGAAAAGGGGGGTTTCCTGCTTTTCCTTCCCTTCCAACAGCACTTTGTGGTGTTGGGAGGTTTAAGAACGGCCAGGGCAACACGCTGGATGGAGGCAACTACAAAGCCCACGAGAACGGGAGCTTGGAGATGTTCATGGCTCGGAAGGAGGACCAGGGAATCTACACCTGCGTGGCCACCAACATCCTGGGGAAAGCTGAGGCCCAGGTCCGCCTGGAGGTCAAAGGTAGGGGAACGGAGGTGCCAAAATCTTGGATCTTCTGGAAGTTGCAGCAGAAATAGTTGAGGTCAAAATCTTGGATCCTCTGCAAGTTGCAGCAGAAGTAGTTGAGGTCAACGTCTTGGATTTTCTGGAAGTTGTATCAGGAATAACCCTTGAGGTGAAGGGGTTTGGTTGTGGCTCCTCTGATCCTCCAGCAGGTCAGAGCTGGGAGCCTTAAAATGGTGGAGATTCCATTTTAATGTTGGGAAAAGCCAAGGCTGGGGATGGTCAAAGGGTTTGGGTTTGGTGTCAGAATGAGAGATGCCATCAGCAACACCACTACTGACCCCAAGTGTTCCTCAGGGTTAGCTGAGGACAATAAAACATTTTTGGAATTGTTTTTACCCCACTCAGCAAATCCGGCTGCTGACTCCAAAAAATCGGGTTCTTTTAAAGGCTCAGCACAAATTAATGACTCGTTAAATTAATTTATTTGTTCAAAGCTGGACAAACACCCCAACTGTGCTTGTCCTTCCCAAGTAACCCTGCTGTCCGTTGAGTCCCTGAGCCAAGCCCCACGGTTCTGGGACATGAGCCTTTGTGACCTCCTGCAGACCCCACCAGGATCATGAGGGGACCTGAGGAGTTTGGGACACAACCCCTGACCCCACGCAGACCCCACCAAAGTTGTGAGGGAACCTGAGGAGTCTGGGGTGTGACCCTTTGTTTGTGCAGACCCCTTCAAGGCTTGTGAGGGAACTCAAGGAGTTTGACACTTGACCCTGTGCAGACCCCACCAGCATCATGAGAGGACACAAGAAGTTTGGGGCGTAGCCCCTGATTTCATGCTGACCCCACAGGGATCATGAGGGGTCCTGAGGAGTTTGGAATGTGACCCTTTGTTTGTGACCCCACACAGACCCCACCAGGATCGTGAGGGGCCCCGAGGACCAGGTGGTCAAGAGGGGCACCATGCCCCGGCTGCACTGCCGCGTCAAGCACGACCCCACGCTGCGGCTCATGGTCACCTGGCTCAAGGACGATGCCCCACTGTACCTGGGGAGCAGGTCTGTGCCCAAAAATTCCATCGATTTCTCTCCCAGAATTGCTGGATTTTTAGCAGAACATTCCAGGAGTCCCCAGGGATAAATATTGAGTTCCCACCTAAACGACGTTTGATGTTTTTGATGCTTTTAATCTCATTGGCTCCCTCCAGCAATTCCAGTTGATTTATCAGTAAATCCAGACTTTGCTGTGGGTTTTATTCCCGGGTATTTTAGGACATCTTGATAAAACCTGGGAATTCATAACGAGCCGCTCCTGAATTAATGTTTCTCTGCTGCGGCTGGCACGGCTTTAATTTCCTTTCTGTACCTGACTCCTCTTTCTTGTGAGGCAAGATCTGATCCCAGGGCACAAGCCCAGGGTTGGCTGTTGTCCTAAAAATGTGATTATTCCCCAGATACACCCCAGGGCGCGTGATTCCTTAGGAAATGAGCTTTCCCAGAATAACCCAGCACATCCTCAGCTGATAAAACTTCCAGACCGGAGATGTTCTCCTGCTCTGGTTGAGTTTCCAGCTGGATTTTGTCAGGGAACATCCAGCTTTCAACGCTGCTACCTAAATGTGCTGGGGCGGAATTTTGGGATGTTGTTTCCTTGAAGGATGAAGAAGGAAGAGGATGGTCTGACGATCTATGGGGTGACTGAGAAGGACCAGGGCGATTACACGTGTGTGGCCAGCACGGAGCTGGACAAGGACTTGGCCAAGGCCTATCTCACCGTGCTGGGTAAAGCCCCCCTGACCCCACAGCTTTGAACGGAACATCCCGACCTCGAGGTCAGGCTGGAAGGGGGGTCTGGGCTCCAAGGCTGTCCCCTGGGTGCTCAGGGAGGTGCTGGCAGAGCAGGGGTTCCGTTGCCACAGGATTCGCTGCCTCGTCTTGGATGATGGCGCTGGAATGCTGCAAAACCCCCTGGGATTTGAGGGTAAAAAATGAAACGGGGATTGTGGCACACAGCCCAAAATATCCCCAGGTGGATGTTGAAGACCCACGAGAAAAGCCCTAAATTTGGGGGTGGATTTAGTGGGGTGTTGGGATGCTGAGCTATGGGATTGGGGCTCCTCCCCCTTTGTGCATCCCTTTTGCAGCACAGGGAGGGACAAACTTCACCCCATTCCCCATTTGTGTCCCTGAAAGCTCTGCTCAGCAAACAGGGATTTAGCATCCCCCTGGCCAATTCAGATTCCCAGGAATGCCACAACCTGCCAGCACCCCTCCACAGCTGGAACAGGAATCCCAAATCCCAAATAATTCCCCTGGGGTTGATTTATTTCCCCTCCTTTCCCCTAATGGCTCATTAACCCCACATCAGGCTGATATTTCCCTTTTGCTATCAATTACGAGTGTGGGTGAATCATGGAGGTCTCTGAGGGAAGGATATTCCTGCTCTGCTTCCCAAACTGGATCGATTCCTGCTGAAATCTGGAATTTTATGTTTGCCAGGTGCTCCTTTGGCCTCCCAAGCTTAAACTAACCTGATTTAACAAGCACTGTCTTACCTTGCAGCCATCCCCGCTAATCGGTTGAGAGATTTACCCAAAGGTAATCGTCACTAATTCCTCGCCTTCCTTTGATTTCCCACCTTGGTTTTGGTTTTCCCTCACCAGTAACTCCAAGAGAAATGGGTGGCAGCTGGAAAAAATGGGGGATGATGCTTCCAGGTGATCCTTGAAGGAGCTGGAGCTCCAAGTCCTTCCCAAGCTGTCCTTGAAGGAGTTGATGCCTCCAAGTTGTCCTTGAAGGAGCTGAAGCTCCAAGTCCTTCCCAAGCTGTCCTCGAAGGAGCTGATTTTTCCAAGTTCCATCCAAATTGTCCCTGAAAACCCATCCGGATGGATAGAAAGCTCCTGTTCCACCACATTTTGTGTCCCACGGTGGCAGGTTCTGAGTGCAGGAATCACTTCATCTGTACTTGAAAATCCTGATGGAAAAAAAAACAAACACATGGAGTCCCCTAATTTTTACCAGGAATTTACTCCTGTTGTTGCATGAGCTGGTCCTTGTGATCACATTTTTTAAAATGGGGAATTCCTATCAAAATTTTGTGTTTCCACTAAGGTTTTGTGTCCTTTTTTTGCTGTTCATTTGCATTTCTCTGTATAAGGTCACAAATCCCCCTAAACCAGCCCCTGCTGCTTTCCCCAGTTTTTTT